TGTTGATATGGAATAAAAGAAATATTTCAACATTTCAAAGTAAAATCTTTATGCATAGCAATTTGTGCACCAATTTTTACTGTTAATTCTTTTGATTAATCATAAAATTCAAAATAGAGAAATAAGGCAACTATCCTCTGGACCTGTTAAGAAATAAAATAGTCAGTCACAGTTAATGGCTCTCGCACCTAGTTTCAATTTCAGTATACAGCACCTTGCTAATTAGCGTGTACTCTGAAGCATTAAGCTCTATCAGAAGAGGATGCTGTAATACAATTGTGCCAAATGGAAATAAAAGCAAGATAAGAAATCTTGTCCATCAAGCCTCCTTTGAAGTGGAGAATAATCTGATAGATTGACTGAAACCATATTGCCAGTCCAGATGACTGCGGATAGTAGGCCACAGCCATAGTCAACCATATAGGATAAAAACATATTATAATTTTGCATGAAATATCAGCTCTCATTAATGATGATCATTACTAATAATAGCCATGGCACTTTATAGACAAAGCATTTTAAAAGCAAATAAATAATTTAAAAGGAGAGTGTATGTGACAGGGGAAGCCTAACATGCTAGCCTATTTATCGAGGATTCTAGTCGTTCGACACATTTTCCCTAAAATTCCCAACCGGTATTTGTCAGGGCTGGCTTACTAGGCTGAAATCATTAAGTATTGCTTCGTAACCCTCATTTGTAGAGGAATCAGGGTGCACAAGTTTCTACGCGCATCATTAAGATTGGTAGGGTTTTGCCATTCCATGAATGGGCCTTGAAGGGTGCCAGAGACAAACAGGCTTGAGAGTTGCCCGGAACGGATGGCTTAACATGCACTGGTGACGGCTAGACCAGGGCCTTGATAGATATTAAGTGGGCCGGAGGGACCGAGCTTGACAAATATTGAAATACTACGAACGGATCAGCGCTTGAAATTGAACAAAGTCTTAATGTGATTATACTACGTCAGTCAGGGTTTGAGAGTCGGCTTGTACGCACGCGGCTTGCCACGAATTCGCCCTTCTCGATCAATGGAGATCGAGTCCTTGCTCCAATAAAGTAAAAAGGATGGGCCGAGGACCTATTTCATAGTCTTATAATATGTTAATTATATATTATTAATTAGTCTTTAAATTAATTAATAATAAATTAATTAACTAGTAGCTTTAATATTGTTAATTAATATATTATTAATTAGTTCTTAAATTAATTAATAATAAATTAATTAACTAGTAGCTTTGATATAAGGGGGACCAAAGTGTTAGTGAAAGTTGAAAAGATCGACTTTTGAGAACCAAGTCAGACCTTAACTCAACTAAGGAAGAAGAGCAAGATCGGACTATATTGCCTTAGAATCATATTTGAGGGAGACAGATGGTCATTGATACTTGAGAACCATTCAATCAAGCAATAAGAGATAAGAAAATGAGGAGGAGGAACTGCCTCTCATAGGCTAAGGAGGCTGCCTGGGGCACCTTGGTCGGTACTGGCCACCTCTCTGGCGGTACTGACCACCTGAGTTCCAGTACCGGTGGTAGCCCTTCTGATTGGCCAGTACCAGCAAGGGGCTGGTTGATACCGCCGGCCATGTGGTGAGTACCTACCATGGCAGTTTACGCCTTTACCCTTTTTTGCCCAATTTGAGTCCTTCGCCTTCTGAAGGCTCGTTCGAGACCTAAATGATGTCCAATTGAGCTGATTCTCACGTCGTTGAACCGTATCAAAATTTTCTATAGCCTGGTGCTGAAATCAGTGGTCAATAGACATTATAGCCAATTTAATTGGTTATAATTTGGATATAATATTTTATGTAAGAAATATTTTAGTATTAATGAAAAGGCATTTATTTATCTTTTATATTCTTTTATTGAATCTCACTAAAAGATAAAATCCATGAGACAATATTGTTTTACAAAGTAAATTATAATGTGGTTATAATTATGAGTTTTATTTTGCATTAAAGCAATATCTCTAAATATTTGTAGTCAATATTCTCCTCCATTATTGGATGATGATTAGTGTTGTTGATATTGGTACATATTATGTTATTTCCTTTGTGAAGGAAAGCGGCTATTCTCATAAGTTGACATATATGTATATCTAGAACTAATATGTAGATGCTTGTTATTTAAACAAGTCCACTGAATTTGACCTACATGAGAATTGCTTATGGAGAGTAACATGTGTCTATGGAATACTCAAATGATAGTTGTGTAAGTGATCATTTGTTTTGAAATTATTAAGTTATCTTGTATGAGAATAATTATGTTTTGATTTTTCATTCACATTATTCATTTATGGATAATAAGCAATGATGAATTAGACATATTAGGAATTGTATGGAGATACTTGTATAATTAAGATAGGATTCATCACCTTAAGTAAATTACAAAAAATGTTCTAATTGTTCTCTATTAGTATTGATTAAGAAATCTTTGTGCAAGGTAGAATGACATCGGCAAATTAGATTTGAAATTTCATTCAAATGATCAATAGCTAAGATTAAGAGAACTAACGTGATCTAATAAAGTACAAACATTTCATGCCTAATTACTAAATCAGAACATTAATGATGAAAGAATATTATTACATTGATAAACCATGCACTGAAAAGTTAAGTTAAACTATTGTTGACTTTCCAAATATTTGGGTAGTCATGACATATTGCTAATGTTACCTTCAAATATTAATTAATTAGTTAATTGTATTTGTTGCCAATTTTGGAACCTAATAGATCACACACGTAAGAATAAATATGAGAAAGTAAAAAATGAGAAATCAAATCAAGTATGACTTGATTACAAATAAGTTTTGGGACATTAAGGGAAAAATTCTATTCTATATTTAATTGCAATTTTACCTAAATTATTAAGTATGGACTTAATTAATTTATGTCTAAAATTTTAGGTTATATAAACCTACTATTTTAATTATGATTTATTTATTTAAATAAATAAATATGTAAATGTATATATTTGTTATAATTTATTTATTGAAAAGGTTTAAATAAATAAATAAAATTTATTTATTTATGAAATAGGATTTTCATATTTAAAGTTTAAAAAATAGTTTAAAAACTTGATGATAGATAGCCACCAATTAAACAAAGAGCATAAGATAGCTATCATCATCATACTCTCTATTCTCGCAGCTCTCAAAAATAGTTTTAGAGTTTTTCGATTATTAGTTTGTATAGATACTACTAGAGGCTGGAAAATTGGACGGTTTGAGACAACCTAGCCACGTAAATCGAAGTTTCGAAGAATCAACTAAAAATATATTCTTCTACAATTTATTGTTTTAATTGTTTAAATGGATGTTATAATTATTTTTCCGCTGTATTTTATTGTATATGCGACCCAACATCAAAAGCTTTGACAATTAAAAATATATATTATATCTTTGTCTACTTTGGATATGATAGGCAATTTAATTAAGTGCACTGAGTAAAATAATTATCAACGTTATGTTTTTTTCCGCTTTGTTAAATTGTTTTATTAATAATATTATATTAGTAACTAAAAAGTTAAAAGCTCAAATATTATATTAGTAAAATTTATTAATTAAGTTATTTATATTTTATATATGAATTAATGATTTTAATTTTTTTGTTAGGTATCAATATGTTTAATCAACAACTCAGTTCATTTTTTTTACGAGGAAAGAAAAAGAATCTCAATAGCTCAATACATGAGCCAATTTCCGTATGAAATGGCGATACTTATTTAGAAAAACGACCATCTAAAGCTCCAAAGATTGATCTTTCAGAACGTGCAGAAATTGATATTATCTCATTTGTTTGTAGATCCTGGTTTGTGCTCGCAGATTTTGGATTATCAATCGCTTTCATCTGATTTTTTAAATCCATTTTTCGGTGATCCAACTCATTCTCATAGGTTTCAACCTCATTGGCTAAAAAACTTTTCACGGTTAGACTATTCACCTACTAAAAAAGTCGCCTTTTAATTTCCATTTTATCTTTTTAGCGAGCAATAAAATGGAAGCCAGATAAAAATGTAGCATTCGGAAGCTAGATAAAAGTTAATAATGGAAAAAATTGTGCATTTTTATCCTATATAAGGAAAAAAAATCCAAATTCAGCGCATAACATTTGATTTCAAACAAGATAAAACATTTTTTACTCTCATGTCATATGCTTTGTAAATAATTGCTGCGGGTAACAGTACCTATAAGTGTCATGAATTGCATAGACTAATGGAATTTAAAAAATAACTCATTTTTTAAATTTTTATAAGTGTCACATGGTGAATTAAACAAAGCATGAAAATAATTTTTTATTTGCAATCCCATTCTTAATTTGCAATTGAGGATGCTATTATTACAAAAAATCGAAATTAAAGTAAAAATTGATAAAAAGATCAAAATAGGGCGAAATTGCAAAGACTTGCAAAATTCATAGCATTCTAATATAACATACCTTTATAAAATTGGGTCATACGAAACAAACCTTCAAGTTTCATAAATTAACCAAATGGATTTATTGCTTGTGTAAATCATGCATACACAGTTATATCGAGGTAAGCAAATATGCTAAGACAATTATTAAGGCCAAACAACCAAAAACACAATTATAATTCTAGGAAAATGAAAATTTGTTATTAAGATATGATAAGCATTAGGAGGTGAATTACGATGTATCCAAACAAATAATAATAATAATAATAATAAAGTTTAGTGAAAAAACACATACCCAAATACAGAGTTTAATCTTCAATTTTAAAATTTGGAAACGATAATTATCTCAAAAAAAAAAAAAAAAAAAAAACGAGTAGTGTATCCAAACCAAATAATAATAATAATTAATAATAAAGTTTACGTTGAAAAAAAAACACATACCCAAAGACAGCCACCTCTCACACCTCTTCAACTTGTTAAAAATTTGGAAACGATAATTTATCTCAAAAAAAAAAAAAAAAAAAAAAAAGGAAATGATAATAATCGAGAGAGAGAATGCATGTTTTTTTCCAAAAAAAAAAAAAAAAAAAAAAAGGAAATGATAATAATACGGAGAGAGAAGGCATGTTTTTTCCTTATCTCTGTTCTACACATGAAAAGGTTCAACAGCATCACCAATTAATATGATATTTGTTCAGTAACTTTGATATTGATGCAATGCCATATAAAGTCATCTATTTATCTATTTAGGCAAATTAAACTTTACAAATATAAAAAGGAAATCAGAAAAGTGCAGAACAAAAAGCACATGACTCAACCTCAATTCATGATTGTATGTGTCGTCGCAGTTTACTCATAGTCAGATCTGCACCTCCAAAACCATCCATTATAGCTTTTGCTGAAGGGAACTCCACTCTTGATGTCAAGCTGAACAAAGTATTATACGAAGCACGAGAAGAGAAGCAATTATTACAATTTTAATCATAAGTACTAAAAATATCGATTCAAAGCTTTTGCAACTTTCTCAGTTTGTTTATGTTTAACAAAACTAATTTTAGGGTTTTAATTACCCATATGATAAGCTTCATTTCAACATAAATTTGTTTATTATCATCATAAAATATACTGATAGGAAGGTAAAGTTATAAGAGTTATAATTGAATGTAATAGAATGGAACAGAATGCAATGTATTTTGATCTACTAGAAACACCGTCGATGTTGATTATATTACATTAAGGCTCACCAAATGTATACTAAGTTGTTTCAATTATAACCCATGGATCAAATGATACTAAACGTGAACTTCAGAGTAACCACAAGCTTAAAATTGTGAAAAAAAAAAAAAAAAAAAACCTCTGTTTAGATTTTTAGATTTTGTTCCAACAAGTACACTTACTAACTTTGTTCCAAAAACATTGGCCTTAACAAGAAATTCCACTGGAATTTAAGTAAATCGAAGATGAATGATTTTGCCACAGAAAATTGAAATTCAGTTATAAGTTCAACAACTATAGATGAAAATTAAGCCTGTTATCTGTCATCGTCAGATACAAATTGTTGAAGAAGTGCTCTATCCAATGAGCTTTCATTTGAGCACAGTAAATAAGTAACTAGGTATCATAAAAATATAAATCACCAATGTCACATCACATTCACATAGCACTTCAGCGTTTAAAGACCAAACTAGCAAAAGTGGTAAGCAGTAACTGAGCATAAAGAAGTAGCACATACATAGATTAAAGTAAGTACATATGCCACTTGGGTATATACCCGGTTTCAATTCCCCCTTCCTCAAAAAAAAAAAAAAAAAAAAAAAAACCTCAAAAAAAAAAAAAAAAAAAAAAAAAGGGAGAGAGAGAGAGGTGTGGTGTGTTGTGTGGTGTAAAAAAAAAAAAAAAAAAAAAAAAAAAAAAGGGAGAGAGAGAGAGAGTGTGTGTGTGTGTGTGTGTAAAAAGTAGACCAAATATTTAGCAATGATAATATTAGCATTGAAGATTAAAAAAAAAGCTCCAAGATCAGAGTGAAATCTCTTAAAACAAAAGACAGAGAACAAGGTAGGAAGTAACCATGGAGATAATTTCATCTCAACAACCCATCCCAATTTCAAGAACGGGAAACTTAAAGGCAAACTGAAAAATAGATCAGCTCTTACCCTGATTGTGACCAAACAATATCCAACTTTGCTATAAACATACGTCTAAGTTAAACTAATCATTTCTATTTCGCTAAAGACATTTGCAGTGGGAAAATAATTGGAAATACTGAAGACAAAATGTTATTACTCGTGAACTGAGAAGAAAGCAAAATAAAATCTCTGACCAATGAATTAAGCCCCAAAAAGCTTTATACATGTGCAATCGAAGTCAATGAAGAAAGAGAAAAAAAAAAAAGAAAAAGGGGAAATTTGTTCTGAGTTTTTGTTAGAATGTGTTGTCTAATTCTAACAATTAAAATTAAGCTAAACCAAGTCAAATGTTATGCAAATAATATGACAGATGCTTCTGATTGGCCTGATATATTTAACACAAAATACTATGACAGCTGCCTTACTTTTGCACTAAAATGTGTGGCTATTAAAAGCAGTATTCGCTCTGGATAAACCGTGATCAATGTTCCATTGACTCTTCTTCTCTTCTCACAACACATTCTTCCTTTTCCATTGCAGAAGATTAAGATTTTGGCTTTGTGTGTTTGCTTGCATGTAAGTATGTATATGAAGGTAAAATAGTTGCTATTCTAATTTTCAACGATATAATTTGAAATGGATCATTAATCATTATGTCAATTCAGAATATGATTGTTTACCCCATGCTAGGTTTAGGTCATGTAGTTTAAAACCCATGGAGAGAAGGGACTCTTCACAATTATTATTCTCCCGTTGGTTATTTTAGAGTAGTTAACTAAATAAGACTTGAATTTTTGTAAGGTCATTTCATCATTCATAGTTTGCTAGGTTTTTCTAGTAATTTTATATCTCCGCATTTAAAGGTTGTTGCCTTTGTAGGTATATTTGGTTTTTGGTTGAACTAAGCATTTTTGGAGTAAAAATTCAGATTCTAAATCACATCGTCTATTGAAAAGGTTGTCAATAGATTTATTAACAAAAATGTCTAGAGGCAGACAAGAAAATGCATAACTTAAGGTATCAAAAAATTGGCAGTAAAATTGAAGCAAGCCTTTACCTGCTCCGAAGAACGACACAGGGCATGGCAATTTGTGCAGCTGCAGCAACTCCAGATTGGCTTCCAGCAACAAGGACACAATGGTTAACTGGTGCCCCAGCATACTCCGCCCCAGCACGCAATGCAGCAATGATCTTCTCTAGGCTGGGTAACCCTCAATAAATGAGATAAAATAAGACTTCGAAAGATAAACAAGTTAACCATTTAAAATTTGACAAACAATGCATGAGCTATCTATTCCCAAACATATGCATATCCTTATCCAGTATTCTACTGTAGGCTATTTGAAAACCAGAAAAAAGAAATCCATGAATTAGTTCTCAGGCCAGGATAAAAATCAGGCACAGTGCAGAAGACCATGACTTCAGCAACTTCTTGTTTTCACACTAGGTAGGGAATCTAGTTTCTGCCATAAACTGTCAATTCAGCATTATATTGATTAATAGTCGTCTCACCTTGCTTGTTCCTTGAACCTTATTTCTAAAGTTCTTAAGCATGTGTGTCATTTCCTTGTTGAGAGTAAGTTTGGGAAATAGCATTCCAAATTTTCGATGCAGTGTTCAACAACAAATGCCCACTAGAAATATAAGGTTGCATGGAATGAATGAGCTAAGACACCACTAGGTAGGCATGGCCGGTTCATTGAACCGCCAGTTTTGGCTCACGGAACTGACGGTTCAAAATTTTTAAAATATTGAACCTGAACAGACCCTTGAACCCGCTGGTTCCAGTGCAGTTCCGGCGACCATTGGTTCCGATCACGGTTTCCGGAGATATATGTTTTTTTTTTTAAAAAAAAAATCGGTTCTAATGTTACATTTTTCTTTCGAAAATATTAATATGAGTGTAAAAAATATTGGTAAATTTTATTTAAAATAAATTTTAGAATACCCATACTCATATAAGAAAAAAATTAATTAATTTTACAAAATAATCAAATAAATTATCACTTTATTTTGTTTAAATGTTATTAAATAAATTAAATAAAAATTTTGAAAAATTATAACTTTAAACTTAGTAAATAATTTAAAAGGTTAAAAAAAAAAAGTTAAAAACAATATAAGTTTAGACTAAATATTTCTCTTTTTTTTTACCATTTTACTTTTTAGATTTTTAACTTTTATTTTTTTAACCATTGTTACTTTTTAGATTTTTAACTTTAACAGTAAAGTTATATGGGTAAAAAAAATTTTTAACTTTTAAAGTAAAGTATATTTAAAAAAAAAAATCTTAAGTAAATCATATCATGTAGTAAAATATTATTGAGACTTTTAGAGATGTGTAAAATAGGCTAAGTGATTATCATTTTGAAAATAAAAATAGAAAATTTCTGGTTCGAACTGTACCGGAACCGGCGATTAATCACCGGTTCAGGTTCAGATTTTAACGTTCACATGAACCTTAACTAACCCTTAAACCGCTGGTTCCGGTTCAAAATTTTAAACCGACGGTTCCGGTCCTGTTCCGGTTCATCTACAATATGGTTCAGTTCCAGTTCAAAATAAATCGGTGGCCATGCCTACCACTAGGGAATTTTCAGAATCCCTTGTGATTATAGGTTGGGCTGGTTGGTTCAAGTTGGTTTTTAGTTCCAGTCAGATATTCCTGCAGTCGTCTAGCTTTAATAAATAACAGACAGGACCTTGACTAAGCAAGGTAAAATAATTAGTTCCATCAAGCTTAACAGGACTGATTTGTAAAGAGGGGTTGTCATTGGAATAGCTCAATTTTTATGTTGGTAGTTTTTGTCTCATCACCCATCATTTAACAAAATAAAGATAATAAAGTGATGCAAGGGAAGAATTTATCAACTCTCAACAATTAGGGCTAGAATAGGTTGATTATGGTTGGAACAAGATAACATATCGGTCTCAAAGAAAACTTTAGAATTAAAATTTTGAATTCATAGATAAAAAACAATACCCAAAACTAATTGTTTCTGTCCTATTTATATTAGTTAGGAAAAATCCTAATTCTATACTGAAAAGTATTCCTAATTGGCTAATACTCCTAGACTGAATAGTATTCCCATTTAGCTAAATCCTAAATAAAGAAGGAAAACTGAAAATTATTTCCTGATTAATTAACATGCTTCAATTTAATTAAGAATCCTAAATAAATAAGGAACTAAAAGAAAACTTCTTAATTAGTCTTGAATGCTCCTGCATCATAAAGGCAGATCTAGAAACAATACTGAAAAAAAAATAGAGGGAACCAAAGAAAAAAAAACCAGCTAGGTTCAGAATGGAGTTCGCAAAAAGGATTGCAATGCTTGCGCGAATCGTCTAGAAGAAACTGTGGCGAGAGAAGTCACTGGAAAACGGTGTCACGCGCAGACGCGTGGACAGGAAGCTGGATCTGTTTCAGGCGCGTGAGCTCACGCTTTTCAACGGACAATCGCGAGCTTCTGGCGGAGGACTGACCCACAGCTGGGCTAACTCCTGAGAGTGACAGTGATAACCAACTCCCTTCAGTTTTCCACCAAATGGACCGAGAAGAACAACTTTTTCATTTTCAAATCAGGCCTTTGGCGCTGATACCATGTTGAATTATCAGAGACAGGTGGGGGAGAAAGTTCTTCTCTATTTCTATATATTCTTGTGGTTTGCATCAACACTATATATATGTACAAATCCACATCTAAATAAGAACGATATAATAAAGGGAAAACGAGAAATCCTCATAAAAAACCACCTAAATTGATTATACAAAGTATTCCAGGATTATACAAATCAACAAATCAAAATACCGAGCTATGTCACAACCTCCATATGAGTTAATTTGGATACATCAATTATTATATGAAGTCCGTCTTAAGACCTCATCACGTGCTAAGTTGTAGTGTGATAATCAAGCTACTCTTCTTATCGCATCCAATCCAGCGTTTCATGAGCAAACTAAATATATTGAGATTGACTGTCACTTAGTTTATGAAAAGATACAGCATGAGATTATCTTGACAGGACATGTAAACAGAAGAGCAGCTAGTAGATATTTTCACAAAAGCTCTAAATAGAGCTCAGGTTGACTACAATTGTAACAATCTGGGCTTGATTGACATCTCCACTTCAACTTGAGGGGGATTGTTATAAAAATTCAACTATCTAAGTACGTAGGCTAGCATTATTATAGGGATTCATTAGATGATTTCCTAAGTGTTAGTTGTAAATAGAGTTCGGTTAGGAGTTAGATTCCCAATAGGTTTATAGTATCCTTTATATGTATATATATGTGTCCCTATTGATGAAAATAATACAACAATAATTTTCCACATTAAATTACATGGTATCAGAGCCCGGGGGGCTCGTTAGGTTTTTTTTCTCTGCTCTTTTGTGTTGAAACTACAGGCAGAGGGTGTTTTTTGGTGACTGCCAGTCTAGGTCACCCACAAAGGCTGGTGTTTTTGTCTCAACGCCACCCAAGGAAGAAGGGCAGGCCGCCGATCGGCTCTCCCTCCAAATCTAGTCACCGGAATCGTAGCGAGTGGGCTTCACGCGCCACTCATAATTTCCGCTCTTCTTCACGCGCCGGCGCGTGCGGGCGCGTGCAGCCATCTCCTGTCACTGGCTCTCAGTTTCCGGCATGGAGTAAAACAGTTCGACCACTTGACCAACGATCCACCTGAAGGAGATGCTAGGCAAATCTGGCTTAGAGAGGATGCTCGATTATTTTTCCAGCTTCCGAATTCGATTGACAATGAGGTAATTGGTTTAATTAATCATTATGAGTTTTAATCATATTTCATAACTTTTGTGGATGATTATTCTCGTGTTACTTGGTTATTTTTAATGAAAACTCGTTTTGAGATATTCTCTATTTTCTGTTCCTTTTGTGATTCTCTATCTTTTCTGTTCCTTTGTGCTGAGATTAAAGATTCAATTATTACCTCTGTCCGAACATTGCAATGTGACAGATGCTAAAGAATATCTATCTGAGTTCCTTTCCAATCTTATATGTCACAGAAATTAAAGATATTCTTCATCAAACATCTTGTATTGATACTCTTCTCATAAATGGGGTTGAAGAAAGGAAAAAATCGACAGTCTTCTTGAGGTTGCTGGGGCACTCCTATTTTCAAATGAAGGTCCCTAACATTTTTTGGGCGGATGCTGTCTCTACTGCATGTTTTTTGATTAATCGCATGCCTTCTTCTGTGCTTAATGGTGCAATTCCTTATAGTGTCTTGTTTCCTTCTAGACTTTTATTCCTTATTGAACCTCGTATTTTTGGTTGTACTTATTTTGTTCGTGATGTTCGTGCACAGGTCTCCAAATTAGATCCAAAATCCCTTCATTGTATTTTTCTTAAGTATTCTCGACATCAAAAGGGATATCGTTGTTTCTCTCCCGATCTTGATTGTTATCTTATTTCTGTCGATGCACATTTTTTGAGAACACTCCATTTTTTCCTTCTCCTATATATAAGAGTAAGGGGGAGGATGATGAGCTTTTAGTCTACGCTATCCAGCAATTTCCTAGCTCTCCTGCTCCTGCTCCTGCTCCTGTTCCTGAACTTGCACCTGCTCCTGCTCCTGTTCCTGAACTTGCACCTGCTCCTGCTACAACGTCTGCTCCTCCTATTCTCCTTCCTGCACCAGCATCTGTCCGCGCTCGTTTTGAACAGGTTTATTCCAGGAGACCAGGAACTCTTGACTCACTTCCCCTATCTACCGCTTCAACAGAAGATCCGGTTCCCTCCACTCAACCTTGTGCCATTCACTCTCAGTCCAGACCTTGACTCCCATTGCTCTTCGAAAGGTAAACGCAGTGTACCTATCTATTTCTTCTTTTGTTAGTTCATTGATCATCTTTCTCTTATTCGTTGTTTTGTAGAAGTAACCTAGACTCTGTCTCTACCCCTAAAATTGTTGTCCAAGCTTTGTGTCAATCCTGGGTTGTGTAGGCAAGCATGAAAGAGGAGATGGCCTTTGATTACCTAATTGGTACTTGGATCTTGTGCTTCTCCCGGCAGGTAAGAAAGCTATTGGTGTAAATGAGTTTCGACAGTTATAAATTGAATCCTGATGGATCTGTTGCCCGTTCTCAAGCTCGATTGTTGCAGGGCTTTTCTGTAGATTTATGGGCCTTGATACTCTGATACTTTCGGCCTGTAGCCAAATTTGTCTTCTGTTCGTGATTATTCTTTAGCAGCTACTTTTGACTGGCCTTTACATCAGTTGGATGTTAAGAATGCCTTTCTTCATGGGGATCTTCAGGAGGAAGTTTACATGGAGCAACCATCAGGCTTTGTTGCTCAGGGGGAGTTGGGTAAAGTGTGTAAACTTCGAAAATCTCTTTATGGCCTAAAACAGAGTCCTCGCGCTTGGTTGGTAGATTTTGCAATGTGGTTCACCAATTTGGCATGCAGAAGAGTACTTCTGATCATTCTGTATTTTTCAGAAGTACTAAGGTTGGTTTGATTGTACTTGTGGTTTATGTTGATGACATTGTTATTACTTACAGGGAGTGATTCAGCAGACATTACATCACTCAAGTCATTCCTCCAGACTCAGTTCCAGACAAAAGACTTAGGATTGTTAAAGTATGTTTTAGGTATTGAAGTGTCTAGGTATAAACGAGGCATCTTCTTACCTCAAAGGAAGTATGTCCTCAACTTACTAAAGGAAACTGGAAAATTGGGTGCCAAGCCATGCAGTGCTCCAATGACTCCTAATTTGCAACTTTCAATTGATGCTGTGCTATAGCTATTTGATGATCCTGAGATGTATAGAAGATTGGTGGGCAAGCTGAATTGTTTTACGGTAACACGTCCAGATATTGCTTACTCTGTGAGCGTCTTAAGCCAGTTTATGTCTTCTCCTACTGTTATTCATCGGGAAGCTTTAGGACAAATTTTGTGCTACTTGAAAGGTAATCCAGGTCGTGGCCTCCTTTACAGTAATCATGGGCATTTGGACATTTGAGTGTTTTTCGGATGCGGATTGGTCAGGTTCGAAGGTTGATAGAAGATCAACTTCAGGATATTTTGTCTTTGTGGGTGGAAACTTGATATCGTGGAGGAGCAAGAAACAAAATGTAGTCTCACGATCGAGTGCTGAATCAAAATATCGAGCTATGGCACAATCTCCATGGACAATCTGCTTGTGAAATAATTTCGGATTCGTCAATTGTTGAGGAAATTGGCTTCAAGTCGTCCTTGCCTGCAAGTTATGTGTGATAATCAAAGCTGCTCTTCACAATTGCAATCAAATCCAGTATTCATGAAAGAACAAAACATATCGAGATTGATTGTCATTTCATTCGTGAAAGATACAACAGGTTGTTATCTCTAACAGAGCACGTTAAAACAGTGAATAGTTAGGAGATAATCTTTACAAAAGAGCTCTAAATGGACCTTGGGTTAATAATCTTTTGTAACAAGTTTGGCGCCAATGATTAACATCTATGCTCCAACTTGAAGGGGAAGTGTTAAGGACAGTTGTAAATAGAGTTCGGTTAGGAGTTAGATTCCTAATAGTTTAATAGTATCCTGTATATGTATTGAGTTAGATTCCTAATAAGTTTATAGTATCCTGTATATGTATATATATGTGTCCCTATTGATGAAAATAATACAACAATAATTTTCCACATTAAATTACACTAAGATAAAATACATAACTTGTATATAATAGTGAATTAACCTCAAAAATCAAATATATAGAAAGCATTCATAACATACAATATATAGGAACATATTCATTATGATCCTCATGACAAGGTTTGAGACTTCAATCTCACATTGAAAGAATGAAATGTGGGGTTTATATAAACTTGGACTCTCCAATCTCAGTAGTACCTTTTCAAATATGGTGCTTCCAAGGTCATACTAAATTTTACTTTGCTAATTTATTAAAGAGAAACCAATGACAACCAGTTCACTGTTTTCATGTTTGTTTATTATATCAATAATTAAAGTCCGATTCATGTAATTGAAAAAAATAAATTAACAGAATTCAGAAGAAACTAAGTTCAGGGTCTTTTTTTTTCTTTTAGCAATTAGGCCTGATTACAACAATGTCAGCACCGGTATATTGATGACCAATAATAGTTGAAAAGCTTGACAACTGTGTTTGTTAAGCACATAACAACATCTAACATTTCAAAAAGCACTGAGAATTAAATTGCATAAAATCTTAATAAGGGCAAAATCAAACAAAAAATTATTGCAGCAAATTATTTTACTAAGTGCATCATAAAAATTTAAGCAGAAGAGAAGCTGTGAAGATAGTAATTAAAAAGTGGAAAATATATAATTAAGGCAGATATGTGGACTAACCTTTCAGTTGAGCTAGTATCAATCTGCACACTCAATTTTAACATGGATGCAACCTTCTCAGCTATTTTTTGTTTCTCAGCGGAAGCTGGTCCGAAAATCAAGAACAGACTCCTTTAGTATCCAATCTTCTAAAGTGAAAAGATGAATATTATTGAGTAAATATGTGTCAATCAACCCAACTTTACGATTTACCTGCTTTTCTTGCTTCCTTAGCAAGTTGCTCATCCAAGCCAGAAAAAACTCCTGTACCAAGAAGTTGGCTATATAAACTCTGTTCCACTTCCTCTTTACCAACAATTGTTATCTTCGAAGTTCTTTCATGACCAAGCTTGTCTATAATGGATCTAACAATTTTGACAACACACAAATACAAGCATATTCTAATTATATACTCGAAACGGATGTAGCATTGAAATTAACTAGCAGAAGGCTCAAGGATGTACATATTGACTTAACTAGTATGGGTGAATGGCATGTTCCGTTAATGCTACCAAACAACCTACTAAACTACCCATTTCAGATTCGGGTATGGCCATGGGTTACGATACATATCCATTTAAAGATTAAAATTATATTTAATAAAAAATAGAAGTATTTGTTCAAATATGAAAATAGTAACGAAAAAATGTAAAAATGGTACAATGACCAAATAAATTAATGTACAAACATTTTTAAAAGATGACAATACTGAATTTATCACAAATAAGGATTCTCATAGCCTATGTTGCACGGAAACTTCCTTCATAGGAAACTTCCTTTGGCTGCCGTTTTTGCGTTTCGGAAACATTTCCTGTGGAAAGGCTTGGAAACTCCTCAAAAACGTTTCGGGGCTGTTTCCATAAATTGAGTAACTTGGAAACACGTTTTCCTTCTCTAAATACGTTTCCATAAACTGGAAACTCTCAAAAACTCATTTCTCTAACCATATAGTCTAAGTAATCAAAACATATATATATAGTCTAAGTAATCAAAACATATATATAATATATATATATAATATATATATATATATAATCATGAATTTTAATCTTTGGTTTAAAAAAAAATTGCTATTACAAGATTTTGCTTCATTGCTAGTAAATTTAAACCAAATATTAGAGATTGAACGTCAAATTCGAAACTTAAAATATTCAAAAGCCGACAAAATTAAACCATGAAAACTATGGTGGTTCCACGTTGCACTATAGTACATTGCAATAAAAGTCAAATTGTAATTTTATATAAATAGTTGAGAAAAAAAATTTATGTTTGCGAGTATGCTACAGATCTCAATTTATGAAAAATTACATGCAGCAATTTAAAAAAAAAATCCATAATTTTTTGAATCTCTCGATTTTAGGTTTGAAGTTCAGCTATTTACCAAAAGTTTGCGTGAGTTGGTTCGGGTTCGTTTCAATAGCAATACCCATACACCTAAAAGAAAATATCAGGTTTTACCCAAACCCAATCCAAACAATCAAAACACAAATTTTAGAGTTTGACTAGGTTCAGTTTGGGCTGATTTTACCATCCCTAAAGACGAGAGAAAATTAGAAAGAAAGAGAAAGGAAGAAAATAATTGAAGGTGAATGTAGAACAAAAATTGCTTGTCACTTCTTTTGTTACTTAATCAAGTTTTATCAAGACTACACAAATACGCTTCACATTACTAGAACAATGATGATGTAAAAAAGACTTGAACACTTGTCTGCTTCAACATTACAAGTAGGGCCATTAGGGTGTAAATGAGTCGAGTCGAGCTCAAACCTACCAAGCTCAAAGCTCAGCCCAGTAGAATTCAACTTGGCTCGAGTTCACCTCGAAAAATTTTGAGCTCAAGACTCAAGTAAGTCTAAAATAAATATTATATATATGTTTGTAAAAAATATCAATAAGGTTCGAGAAGCTCTTGAGTTTGAACATCAAGCCCAACTTTTCTCGAGCTTAGCTCGAATAGGTTGCAAGCTGGCTTGCTCATTTACACCCTTAAGATCCATACCTCAAAACTTAATAAGTCAAGTGATGAGTGTCCGACATACTCTTGATAGCAAAACCTTTATAGTGAAAAGTAAATAAAACTTGCACATATAAAGTAAAAAATATATATATCATAGCGATGTACAATATCTAATTCCTAATTAAGATAGGACAACACGTCTATAATAAGATTGGAATTCTTAATTAAGATATGACAAAACTTTTAAAATGGGATATAATTTAAAAACTTTAATTAGTATAAAACTTCTGAATTAGGGATTGTATTAAATTTTCCAATTTATTAAATTCATAATTATTTTGTACACTATTAAACATTTTTTATTTCCTTTTAATAGTTTGTTATTTTATTTTTTAGCCAATAAAATTTAGATTTAAATAGGAAACTAATATAACCAATCAAATTACATCACATTTATCTTTTCAACCAATAAAATTAAAATCTTTAAAGAAATTTTTGTCAATCTATAAATTTAGTAGGGTTATTTTTGTCAATCCTAAGATTTTCCCCTCCCATTCTTAATTATATATATATATATATATAATATATATATATAATTATTAGAGAGAGATGAGAGAGAGAGAGAGAGAGATGATCTTTAAAATATATATATATATATATATAGAGAGAGAGAGAGAGAGAGAGAGAGAGAGATCTTTAAAATATATAAGGGGTTAATATAATATTTTTGGACATATTCAAAATAAACATAAAAAAATTAATGTAAAAACTTTGAACAACTACTTAAAAACATGTGTGTTTTATGTCATTGTTTGTATTTAATTCACTTTCTATGTTTAATGTAGTATTAATCTTTTTTTTTTTTCCTTATTAACTAGATGAATGAAAGAGTTTAATTTCTCTTCTTTTAAACCACCTCAAACCAAACCAAACTGTCACTAAAGATTTGGTTTTATTTCAACTTTTTTCAAATTGCACTTAATAATCAACCAAACCAACCCGACCCACAAACAAGCCTAATTCCTACAATTTCTACTTTCTATATTTATTTTTTTTTCCTAAAATAAATACTCCTAAAATCCCTATGAATAGGATATGTATCAATTAGGCAAGGTAATGTTTCTTTTTTTTATTGGAAGGAAGGTGAGGTAAATTGAAATTTTAATAACCTTGTATGGTTTGGTTGGGGGTTTTAGGAGATAAGGTTCAGTAATAAATATGAAGATTACAAAAATATCATTATCATGAAAGTTGTTATTTTAGACATATAAATTGGTTAAAACTATTTTTCTAATGAAGTACTCATTTACGAATATCAAATTTGTTCTTAGATTATGAAGGAAGAAAAAAAAAAGAAATACGGGGCGAGTAATTGGGGTTTTAAAGAATCAACATGTATAATATACGAAACTAAAATATTTAACCATGCCCACAAGGCTTTCAGTGGGTTTTCAACCCCTCAAATAACCATTAAAAAACCTCCCTCCCCCTCAAATCCTCTTCTCAAACAACCCAAAAACTTAACATTACCTTAACTTACTTTCAAAAACCTACCAACACCCCATCAAAATGAGTTGTTCAGGTTCATTTATTTGCATATGAGGATGAAACTTAGAGTTCATTTCTTCAAATACAAGGATGAAATGGACTTTATACTCCATTCCAATGCATTTACTGAGAAGATAATTATCCTATTACCGCTTTACTGCTTCGAAAGTATCCTGAATTCATATTGAAATTTTTCTTGAAAAAGTTTCATTCTCCAACTCTGAATGAATTTGGGGCCTCCAATCCTTTTTTGAAGAATTTATGTTGCACCCCTAGGGGATAACTTCTGTCTTCTGTAGTTCCAAAAATTTTCTTTAACAGTTTCATGCAAGAGCTTGGCTAAATGGTGAAAAAAATGTGACACAATATCGATAAAGTATGAAGGGTTGCAAATAAAGTTTCTATGCATTGGTTTGATGTAGAAGATCTTGTTACAACAAGACGTGCCCTTTGTTCACTAGTTAAGACAGAAATACACCTTGTGTACTATTTTGAATATAGCAAAGTGTGCCGAAGCATCATAAGGTTATAAAGTTACTGTAAACAAGATCTCTATCTCATGGAAATTATGTGAGAGATTTCAGCTTCAGCTAATGTGCTTAAGTTTCCAACTGAAGGGGAAAAGTTAATGGAAACGAGAATAAGAATGAAAGTACCATGCTTATATTAACATTTGCGCAGTACATGCCTATGTAAACATTTAGTCAATATATGTCATTAATAATTATGGTAACTCTTACTATAAAACAATCTTTAAAAACAAAAGAACATACCTAGTGATATTTTCCTCATGTTTACTACAAGTGGTTAGAATGACCACAGGTATTCCTTCTTTAGATGCAGCATCAATAAAACTGCAAATAAAAATTGCCTAAGCATCAATAAAACTGCAAACAAAAATTGCCCAATGTGGATTTAAAATGTCAACGTCAAGGGAATTTTAAAGTGCATATGAGGACATTGTCAACACCTCCAACGTCATATAAAGAATTTGATATTGGCATAAAAAGAAACACTTGTAAAATCTAAAATACCAAGTTCTTTTGAAAAGTGTTTTTTCTTTTTTTGTTTCCTTCCCAGAAGGTGATTAGTGGAGATCCTGGAGACACATCCCTCAAAATGGGTAGGGTTGCATATGTTGACATTAAATTTTTATGAAAGATGAAACCTTTGTTATCTATTATTAGTTTGTTTATGATGGATAAATCAAATGTTATTTTTTTCCAAACTCAAAACAGGTGCCAAACATATCATACACACTATAAAAAATCTTCATCCATCTCCTTTTCTTGAGTAATACGAGTTTTTTGGTGGCAACAGTGCTAGTAATTTTAGTAAGCCCCTATTAATAATTTTTGAATTCCAATTATGATTTGACAGTGTAGAAAAAAATATTGCATCTCAATGTCGAATAATTTCAAATTTAATTGATTATAATACAACTGCTTAGAAAAACATGTAAGGCTTGTAGAAAGTCAGTAAAAGAACTTCAATTGAACCCTTTATGAATACAACTGAATTGAGCTTGTAATAAACATCCTATCTCTAACTTTGTTTCCTATAACTCCCTGTCTCCTTCCGATAGATCCTTTCTATCATTTGTTGCTTCAGTTTCTATTCCACAGGGTTAGCAAGAAGCATCTTGTGATCAAATTAGAAAGAGGCAATGGTTGAAGAGATGAAAGCTTTGGCACAAAATGAGACTTTGGACCTTGTTGCTCCTCCTTTAGGAAAGAAACCAATTGGATGCAAATGGGTGTTCACAATAAAACATAAGGCAAATGGTTTCATTGAGAAGTCAAAAGCTAGATTGGTTGTTGTTATAAATTTAGAATAATATGAAAGAAGAGGAGAACTAAGAGAGGAGACTTCAACCAAATGGCCTACATCCACGGACGCTAATCTTAAGGCTAATAAAGATTGTGTGGCCAAGCACATTTTATAGCTTGTATTTATATACATAAGGAGTGTAGCTAAGGAAGGTATATTAAAGGAAACAATCATAATTTTTAGGCTCGATAATCCCATAAATTAGGAAAGATAATTCCTCAAATTAGGGGAACGTGATCCTCAAATTATGAATTCACAATCCCATATATAATAGAGAAGGTAACACATGGTGTTTTGAAGATTTTCATGTGACCTCAGAAGAACAACTAGTTGGAGTGTTTACCAAGAATCTTTAATAGCAAATCATTTCATACGTTAGTTTGCAAGTTGGGCATGCGGTTATATCTATCCACCAACTTGAGAGAGAGCATTGACTATTCACTTCCTATTTTTTGAGATTCCATAATTGTATTTATTTCCTGTACTAGGATTATAAAATTTCAACTTAATGAGACTTTTAAGCGATATCCATATAAACCTTATCAAACAACTCAAAACTATTAAGTGTTGAAAATTTTAATTTTAAGTGTGACGATGAAGTTTCATTAAAGATATCCTACTAAACAACCTTTTCAAATTATCTAGAAATAGCAAAGCTCAACCAGAAACACCTAGATCATACTTTGTTTCTAACCTCAATAATGTGAAAAACATAATCTTTTATATATAGCATAAAGTTGATCAATACCCCTAAACAATCCAGCAAATAGTGATCTCATTCATTAGGGGATTTGACACAGCTACCACTTTACTACTGGACTAGAAGAATCATCAAAGAGATTCAGACACAATTATGCTTGCTTGAATAGTAAATGGTGGCATCAAAGTTAAAAGAGGCAGTTGAAAAGAGAATATGAATGGCCCAATCCATGGCCCACTTATATTCAGTTAGGATTAGACGACTCACTCTTCTACTCCAGGACGTAAAGGTGAATTTTTTGACATCAGAAATTCGTCCATTGCATTATTCTGGCATAAAAAATAATTGCTCAGAAATTCATCACACATTCTAAGAACAAACAGTTGAAAAAGGAGGACATGAAAAATGGTATAATTGTTGACATTAAGTTTATAAACACTTGCACAAACATTTATTTTATGGGTGTGCCTGTGTGAAGTAACAGGTATTATGGGAACAAGTGACACCATTTTGGAGTATTGACGAATAAAACCAACCAGAAAGAGGGAGGGCGTGGACAGAAAGAGAAAGAAACCATCTCTTCTTTTTTTATTTTTTTCTTTTTCCTCTTCCTTTTTCTTTTCAGAAATTGGGGATTTGGAGAGGGGAAGTATGGATGGCTCAACTGCTACACTTTCCATTTTATTGGTTCACTACAGATTACTGTAATTGATAAGATTACACCTTGGATGCTGCCTTTGACCAGCTGCTCATCATTTAAAATAAAACAACAAATCTATCGAATGCCCTCTATATTCTCAATAGCACAAAACCTTGTTTCTAAATTTCAAATTAGCATAAAAATCTCAAAAAATCCCCTCTCAAGCCATGATCTTAACTATATTTTTCCATCGAATAATAAGTTGGAAATTTGCATCCTTGGTAGAATTTGGAAGAAAAAGGATTTTATTATAGGCATTTGCAACAACTTTTTATCAAAGCACATGAAACCATATTTCTTTCCCTGTAGTGTATTTAGTGCATTTGATCAGGTTCTCGTCCAATTCAATCAGCCAAAAGTGATAATGAGTTTACTAACTATGAACCAGTTATAGGAACCTCGAATATTTAAAAAACTACCTAATCACACAACAAAAGTATTCAATACATAAGCAAATGAACTTCATAAACATTAGGCCACCTGTAAACATGATACCTTTTCTCGCAGAACATTTTTTATGAACGTGCCTTTCTCACTTGTGGGCAATGAAGTGGGCCAACCAATCTGCAAGAGAATAGAGAGATTAACTGTGCCGAACAAATTATACCACAGAAATAATTTCAACAGAAAAATCACCTGGTTAAAATATAAAATCAGCATCCTTTCCTCATCAGTAGCACTCTTCCTGGAAATCAGAAAGTATAATTTGTACAGTAGATATCGAACTTAAACATAAATGCAACTGAGATAATTTTCTAAATCAAATGATAATTTGTATCAGTCCAAATGACAATGAAGAAGAGATATAGTTAGAAAATATGACATTGACAGAAACACCAACGATGGTAACCAAAATGTAAAATAAAGTGCAAAATTGATTACAAACCAACTCAAATATAAGACTTAGAAAGCAATTTTTATCTTGGATTGATGAGAATTTCCATCAAATTACAGTTCAGAATGAACAAAAGCACGTTGAATCATTTCGCACCTTACAAGGTCTAGATAGATAGGTTCAGTCCAATTCGCACAATCAAGTCCGAGCTTCTTAAATGCTGATGGTATCAAGAAAGAAAAGTGTCCTTAAACTTATACATCTCAAACAAATAGATAGGCAAGACCATAGAAAATATGATGCCATAGGTGATGTAATTAATGCATCATTGTACCTGCATTAAAGGCTTGGCGATTTCCTAAGCGGTATGCATCTATAAGAACCCTGTAAAAAAAGTAAGGCATTAAAATTAATCTGGAAACCAACAAACACTGGTAATCCCCACCCTAGAGATATGTATTATTGAAGAGATAACAATTGGGAGAAGGAAAGAACTACCAAGGCTTCTAACTATCTCTACTTCTACAATGGTCAAACATGTTCTGTCCATAAAATAAGCATGGGATAGATGAGACACTACTATGAACAAGGTGGAAATTCTAGAAATGACCAAAGAATGCACTCATAGAAATGTGGAAGTGCCATCCATCGAGAATGAACTGAAGGAGGAGCAAGTAAGATGGTTTTGCATTTTCAAGTGTAAACAAGCAGTCAATGTGGAAGATTGAGCAACATCAAGGAAGAAAATTTCGATAGATAGACCAAGGACAATAAGGGATCTGGAAGTGTAGCCATAAACCATCTGGTGAAGGAAAATGCTCCAAATGGTAGGCCCAAGGATCTAGAGATCAACAATGAGTTGCACCAAGCTGAGTTGTGATGTTTGCATTACACGATCAAGATGTTTCAAACGCAAAATACAGTATAAATTACAGTTCATTAACAAGTTTGCTACAGGAATATAGAACATCATTGAATTACAAACCAGTAGCACCGATGTAAAAATTTGATAAGAAATAGACCCATCTCTGAAACTTCTGAAGTAGAAAATTAAAAATCAATAAAAAGAAAAAAGGCATTAAGTAGCAAAGATGCTCGGTGATGATACAGTAAGTTATATGTATACACACACAACAGCTAGTAGAGGACAGAATTATCAATCTCAAAGAAAACACCGAAATTTAGGAACAAAGCAATTATAACTAACGGAGTAGCACGAAACATTAGGACAAAACTGGACCCAAATAAAAAAAAAAAAAAAAACATAAAAAAGATTAATACCCATCAACCTCGAGAAGAACAGCAAATTCTGGAGATGGTCTTTCGTCGGGGGAACTGGAAGGTGAACAAAATGGAATAAACCCATTGGGTTGCGAACTTTTTCCTAGAAAATTATATTTCCGAGAAAAAGTAAAGGAAAAAGGACCTAGAAACAAATTGTTAATAATCCTGGGCCGAGCTACATAATAGCATTTATTACAGTTGGTTATGGTGCTTGACAAACGGAGCGAGTAAAGAATTGAACATGAAGCAGTTTCCATGGCCATTAGCAAATGCCAAGTATCTGGCTGTCTTTCTAGTGGCTACTAAAGCCCCCACATTACCGCCCTTGAAGGAGTTTTTATGTAATGCTGATGGCTAAGGTTCGGGAACCAAACAGTAAATAAATAATCTTTTTTTTTTTTTTTTTTTGGTAAAAAAAAGGTTACGGGAACGCAAACAGTAAAAAATAATTCTTTTTTTTTTTTTTTTTCTTTTTTTTTTTTTTTTTTTGGTAAAAAAACCCGGTATTCAGCACATTCAATTAATCAAAATTCGAGTTCTGCAAAGGTCCATTATGAGTCCACCCTCCCAGTCAGTTTTTTTCATTTATAAAGCCAAAATTCGAACCTTGAATGTTGTCAAAGGAATCCAATAGTTGATACAAATAAATAATCTTTAGGCTTCCTTTGCATGAGACGAAAAAGGATGGTAACGTATTGGAAAATAATAAGGATGCTTTTTCCTTTTTTTTTATTTTTTTTTGTTTAAGGGTTGTTCTAGTGACGGTTAGCTTTTACCTAAAAGCTATTTATATATAGCTGTTTGAATAGGAAGTATTCGGTAAAATTATGTGTTTAATTATCTATTAACTTAAAATGACAAAAAATGACATTAGTTGTTTAATTAGTTAAATTCAAGGGGAAAAAAAATAATGTGTATGATTATCAAAAAATTTAATTAATTTTGAAACACTAAACTAGGGATCTAAATGAGTCGAACCGAGCTTTGGTGAGCTCGAGCTTGGCCCGATAAGGATATACTCAAGCTCGGCTCAAGCTCGTTTCGAGCTCGAAATTTTGAGCTCGAGCTCGGCTTGTTTATAAATAGCCGAGCTCGAGCTCGACTCAGGCTGGACTCGATAACCATAAACGAGCCGAGCTCAAGCTCAAGCTCGAAATCTATTAACCAAAATGACGTCGTTTTAATATAGGTTTTAATTGATTTTGTCTTATTGAGCTAGCTCGTGAGCTCGACATGGCTCAATAAGGCTAACTCATAAGCTCGACTCGATAAAGCTGGCTTGCGAGGTAGCTTGCAAGCTAATGACCCAAGCTCGAGCTCGGCTTGATAAGCTTATTGAACGAGATCAAGCGAGCTTTTACCAAGCCGAGCCTCGAGTAGCTCACGAGCGGCTTATCTCATTTACAGTCCTCCATTAAACATTATAGTGTTTAACATTTCATAAAAATTTTCATTAACCTCTAAAAGTTATTATAAAATATATTATTAAATGGTACAAGTAATAGAGATAAAGTTTTGACTTTATCAAAATGCTAACAGAAATGATAAATGGAATAAATCGTTCCATGTCATGATAGTATTATATTGTCTAAATAAGAAGAGGTGGGGTCACAATTTTAATGTTGTAGCCAAATACTTTTAATGGGTTGGCAAGGCATATTGAATGTGTAGAAGGGCAAAGAAGTAAAACAAAACAAGAGAATAATGTGAAAAACGATAGCGTTTTGTTTATAGTACTGTCTTTGATAGTCTAAACTCTAAAAGAAGTGCGAGAAGAAAACCCTAAGTGCTTTATTAAGAACATGATTGAATTGAGTCAATCTAGGTGGAACCATACATAATTGATAACGAAGGTATTAAAACAGCGATAAGAGAGGCATAGTTGATGAGGAAGCATTAGGAGGGCGAGAAGGAAGCCGCAGTAGATAACAAAGCAGTTGACTGGAAATCAAAAAAGCAATGGTTAGTAATGTATGATGTTAATCGCAACAGGGATTAATTCAATTACCTTAAATTGGGAATTGGTATGAGAATAGAGAACAAATTTATATGAAAAATTAGGTATAATATAATTGATTGAGGGGTGCAGTACTTTTAGAACTAATTTATTGGAATTTGATATTTGGCATGCGGGGCACAATAAAGAACTGGAATAAGGCAAAAACGATGGGACTTTGACTGAGAAAATGGAGTGTTTAAAATTGCATAAAAATGAAGAGAACAAATAAATTTAATATGATTGTCAAGGTTAATTAGTTTGAACTGAATAAGATAATTAGGAAGTTTTTTTGTATAGATATGATATTGAATATCGCATTATTAGAAGCATAAAAATGTGGACATGTATGATAATGTAGTAAAGTTTTAGGAATTGGTACACATTAGTATTTGAAGACAAGACAATGGTTAGGGTGTCAGAGCGATTGTATGACGCTTGATTAGTAATAGGATAAGTTGAGCAACGGTTAAAAAAGAAATAACTGATGTTAGGAATATTGGTTATGAACTATGGCTTGCAGGGAGGCGATTAATAATAAAGATGCTGGTAAGAATCGATGTTCTATTGATCAGATAAAAAAACCTAGAGAATTTAGTAAAGTATGTGACGCACGGATTGACAAGAATGCCAAATCTGTAACGCCCTATTTTTCCTATGTTGAAATAGTAGTTTACCAGTCTGTGAATAGTATCACCGGTCTTGGAGTCGGTATTATTTTGGTCCGAAAAAATTACTATCTATGTGTTATATTTTATTTAATATTTTTGGAGCATGCATGCATGGTTTTTATGGGTAAGTCTATAACTTGCTGTTCGTAATGTAGAACCACGAAGCCTTGACAGTAACTATAAATCCCTCTCTTCACATACGAGGGAAGTCTAGTTTTGTATTCTGGTGTAACACTATCCTCAGACGCCACTATAAAAGCAAATGCGTTTCACACCGGAGAGCCTTATAACTGGGCGTATCGATAGGTCTTTTCGTAATTGGCTGGCAAGCGCTCTATAATCCAGGACCTGTTATTTTCACATTCTATCTCAAAGATCTCTCCTTTTATACCAAACCTTTCTATAATTCCTTTTTAAGTGTCAAGCCTTAACAATAAATTGGTTTATTGATTTTGGAGGTTTTCCAGGATCTATAGGTGTTATTGAACATATCTTGAGCTTGAGTCAAACTTTTGAAAAGAAATCAAGGTCAAATTAAAGAGGTATCATATGATGCTGTTGAGAAGCCTCTGCTTCTTGCTCAAAATAACCGACTGCACTGGTTTTGTATTGGAAGTGAAGTGTGGGTTAGTGTGCAGGGCCCTAAGCTGTCTTTCTTACATGTTACTAGTTTCCTTTTATCTAATCTTATGGTTAATTATCCCATAGTCTAAATTTAATTGTTGTTTTATTCTGGAGTTTTGTGATTATTATAAGTGTTCTGTTATTTGGAGGCAGGATTCCCGAGTGGTCCTAGCGTAGGTCGAGATAGTAAGCTCAACATAATCTTCTTTTTAATTGGCATTCTTGAATAAGGCAAAAAACGCATTTTTGATAGAGACTCTCTTGTTACATTAGATTAAGAGAAAGAACTATTGTGTAGTGGATTATTAATAATATAAGCTTATTTTTTGTAAATCTGTGTAATAAAAAGAGCTTATAGAAGAGATGAAGGTCTCCCATAAACAACGAACAATCTCAACTATTCCATCACAGATAGAGTCAAGATTTGTAGATAGTTAACATGTGGGCGCATCAACTGGATTATGAATTTTCCCTGAGGTTAGATCCCTCACCTCTTCTCAGTCTTTTCTCTATCTGAGATTAAAGACACTGGAAAGAGTATGAAACTGAATATTTATGATTCCAGTAAATATAGAGAATCAAATAAGTTTTTTTGTATACTGAGAAATCTTATGAAATAAAGTGAGGTTAATTGAATATCTCGTTCTGATATATATTATATAGATGGAGCCATGAAAAAAATGTGTGCGACAACATTATGATATCATGATTATGTATAATGTTTCCTTTAATAATGAGTATATGTGGTATTACACATTGATATTTGTGAGTTAAGATCAAGACACAAGATTGGTGTGATGCAAGGTGTCAGAGCGAATTTGTATGACGCTTGATTAGTAAGTATTAGGATAAGTTGAGGCAACCAAACGTGAGAAAGAAAAAGAAATAGATACATGTATGTGTGTGTTTAAAAGTAAGATATATTTCTCTGGGTCTATTGAAGAGATCAAATTCAAATGTGCTTGCATTGCTTGGAGGTTTGTTCCTGACTTTTAAATCAGAAGTATTGCATAAGGTTGTATTGATTCTGTTAAAATAGAGAATTCTGATGTTCTGAATTTTGGGTTTATTGAATGCTATTTTGATAAGAAATTTCCAGAAATAAAAAGAGACCAATAGAGAATTTAAGTAAAAGTATGTGACCACGGATTGACAAGAATGCTAAAATCTGTAACAGACAGACAACCCACGAGTGCAATGGAAATTATTTATGTCACTGAATGTTTGAAAATATCAGTGGCTAAGTTAGCAATGTTTTATCATGCAAAAGAAATCTCGGTGGATATGAGCTGGTCAAAACCCAATTGTATGAAAGAAAATGCATCTCGGGAGACAAGGTAGTAATTGCTATATTTGCGCTCCCGAAAAAAATTACTCAAAAATCTAAAGGTAGTGTTACTTTAGGTTTTAAATTTAAAATATTATGTTTGGTAGTGCTATAATCTTTTTCTTGCATGCCTATTGGGTTTGCTTTTTTAAATTGGGTTAATAAGAAAGTTATAAAGTAATGCAAAATGCAGAATGAGAATATTTTGGGCAGAAATTTAAGATTACAATAGTTTGACACTTGTTTTCTAGTGTTGAAGTTTTCATTGTAGTTGCTTATAAAGTATGTTTAATAAGTCCATGTGAAAATTTTCATGTGATGGTGTAATTTTTCTTTATTCGCGATATATATTTGAGACTAAATCGTTGGAGATAAATAATATTTAGGGAGTTTAATTGGAGAATATTTGTAGCCGTTAGATTAGATTACTATTGACTTAATCCTAGCCATCCAATTAGGAAAAGGACCAAAACACCCTTTAGTTACTTTATAAAAGTCAACCCCAATTATTTCAGTAACCATTTCTCTTCTTTTTCTTCATGTTAGGCGTGTTCTTCTCCTCCTCCTTCTCTTTGTTTCCTTCACTTCCTACTTAGCTAAATCCACCAAAATTAACCTACCCAACTTGATTGAAGTGATTAATCGTAGAGAGTGAAGTTAGAGAAGTGATATTTGGTGATAAATTTCAAGGAATTTGGTGATAAATTTCAAGGAATTTGGTGATTTTCCTACTTAGGTCAAGTAAGTGATTTTATGATAATGTCATTAT